CTCTCCAAAAAAAAAAAAAAAAAAAAAAAAAAAAAAAAAAAAAAAAAAAAAAAACCCAAAAAAACAGCAACAACAACAAAAAAAAACAAGCAAGAAAAAAATGCCAGGTAGTGGTGGTTCATGCCTTTAATATTAGGGCTGGAAAGATGTCTCAGCTGTTAAGAACACTAGTTGTGCCAGGCAGTTGGGATGGCGGTGGTGGCGCACACCTTTAATCCTAGCACTCAGGAGGCAGAGGCAGGTGGATCTCTGAGTTCGAGAGCAGCCTGGTCTACACATTGAGTTCCAGGATAGTGAGGGCCACACAGAGAAACCCTGCCTCAGAAAACAAAACAAAAAACATATGGTTTGATGTAGTGCAAGCTTGCCTTGAACCTTTTTGTAATGTGTATGGTGTGTGTGTGTGTATGTTTGAATGTGTGGAACATGTATACAGATGTGCTTACACATGTGTTTGAAGGCTGTCAGTCAACACTGGATGTCTGCCTCAACTACTTCAGGATACACATATTTAAATGTATATAATTAAAAAAATCACACTTGGGGCTGGAGAGATGGCTCAGAGGTTAAGAGCACCGATTGTTCAAGATAGCCATCTTGCTATCCCTTTTCATCTTATTTTTGGAGACAGGATCCAGAACTCAGAACTCACTATTCCAGTCAGGCCAGCAAGCTCCAGGGATTCTATTGCCTCCCATTTTCAGGGTTACAGGCAGATGCCACAATGCACAGCTTTTTTCAAGGACATTGGAAGGTGATTGTGCTTTCAAAGGAAGGCGCACTTTCCCCATGAAGTCACCTCCCCAGACCCAAAGGGGAACTCCTGATCCTCCTGTCCCCAATTCCTGAGTGCTGGGGTTATAGATGTGCACTACCACACCCAGGAGATGCAGTGCTGGGATGGCTGTGTGAAGGCTAGGCCAGCACTCTGTGGCTCCTCCTGTGGCCACAAGTCCTTTGGCAGTAAAGAAAGTAAGTTCTGTCCCAAGACACTTGAGACTCCAGAGTATGTAATCCGGGCACCTGAGCTGGTGTCTTGCCTGACTCGGTTCCTGGGTGGCTGCTGGGGTCACACCACCAAAAGCATACATATAACCAGAAAAAATAAAGAAAGAAATAAAGGTAACACTTTTTTTTCTTTTTCTTTCTTTTACTTATTTAAAAAGGCCTTAGCGGCAGGAATATAGTGTAAAAATCATTGGAAAAACTAAAAGGCATCGATACATATCCGAATATACTTTGTACATAAATTACATTTCCTTTAGTCTTTCTGAGTTGAGGTCCTGATTCGGCTCTGAGGTCTAATAATCAAGGGGGCCTGGGAGCTGCACGTTTAGTCCGGAACAGTCCACCATGTACACTGGCCACTGCTAGAGAGAGGGGACAGAGGCACCAGGTTAGGACTCCAGACGACACGAAGGAACTCCCAGAATAACTAGCTGGCTCTCTTTCAGGGCAAACTCAAATGTTACTGATGCAGCTACTGACCTCTCTGGGGCCACACAGGTAGAGCCTGGTGTGACTGTCCCCAGCCTGTGTTCCAGGGGTTCAACACGTGGATTAGACACCAGAGGGAGCTGAGTGAGCAGGCACAGTAAACACCGTATGCCCAGCCTCACCCCACAGACTGTCCCACCTCTCGGGGCAAAAGGAATACTCAATGATAAAAATAAAGGTAGGAAAAAAATTGCAATTCTGGGCTTTCCAGAGTACCAGAAAGGGACTGAAGGGACACACAAAGGGTCTAGAAATCCTAAAATCAGTCTTTCTTTCCCTTCTTTCCTCCATTCCTTTTTGTTGAGACAGTCTCACGTAGCCCAGGCTAGCCTCCAATTTCTCATGTACTGAGGCTGGGGTTACAGGTGTGTGCCACCATGTCCAGTTTATGCTGGGGACATAACCCGGGGCTTCATGCTGACTGGGCCACACCCCCAGCTCTGTTTAGCAGTTTTCTTTGAGACAGAATCTCAAATAGCCCAAGCTGGCCTTGAACTTGTAGGACTATAGGCATATGCCACCACAACCAGTTTTTTTTTACATGTTTTCCTCCGAATCAGGCAAGAGCCAAACTCAGCAACATGGCCGACAGATGATGGAGGTAGAGTTCTGTCATGTGACCATCTACCCTCTGGCTCCCACTGTCCTCATTTACACACATCGCTGGTGACACACACACTTCAAGCACTGCACTGATTGCCCAGACCCCTCAGTCTATCTTGTGGGCAAGACAAGTGCATGTGCCTGCACCTCTGAGGCTGGCTGAGTCCCTCTTAGAGCCCAGTGCCTCCCAGTTCCTGGAGCTGTGGGCGGCCCTGCCCGAGGGAGGGGCAAAGGCCACACAGAATTAGGGTGAAGTTCAGATCTGCGTGACTTTACCACGAGGGAGATCTGGTTGGTGGATGCCACAGACTCTGGGTTAGAGGACGAGGATGAAGAAGAGGAAGAGGAGGAGACCGAGTTGCCTTCCGAGACCCGCTTTCTCTTGCGCTTGGGAATGTCTTTGGCTGGTGGAAGAAACAGTTGCTGAGGCTGGAGAAAGCCCTTGCTTTTAGAATTTTAGTGTTTGGTTCCCCTCCCCCCCCCAAATGTCTGGGAATGGAACCCAGGGCTTTGTATATGAACCATACTCCTAGGCCCTTATTAGGCAGGTGCTGTACCGCTGTGCTGAAACCACATCCTTTTATAGCAACCTAGGCTCTGTGACTCTCTACCCACTAAGTGGCTAAGGCTCCATGGTCTAGCCTTATTCCCCAAGCAGGTATATGGGCCAGTTGTCTGGCTCCTATTCACCTACCTGCTTTGCTGGTAGGTGAATCTCCCCTCACCCACCTCAATGGGCTCAGGCTCAGTACAGGGCTCCAGCTCACCTAGATCAGTCCATTTTCAGTATGGCTATTTCCCCAAGACCTTCAAAAGTCCTGAGCTCCTCTTTCCACTTCCTACCAAAGTGTCTTGGTTTGCTATGTTGAGACAGGGTCTCGAGTAGCCTAGGTTGGCCTACAAGTCACTGTGTAGCTGAAGCTGGCCTTGACTCCTGATCCTCCTGCCTCCACCTCCCAAGTACCAGGATTAAAGGTGTGTGCCACTATACCTGATTTACGTGGTGTTAGGGAAATTGTAACAGGACTTTGTTCATACTCTCCCGACTGATCCACACCCCAGCCTTACTTATTTCTCTTTTTAGAAATATTTATTTATGTATGCATATATGGCACATGAATGGAGGTCAGAGGACAACTTGCAGGACTTGGCTCCGTTTCTCCATCACGTGGGTTCTAGGGATTTGAACTCAGGTCATCAGGTTTATCAGCAAGCACCTTTATCCACTGAACCATCCCCAGGTCTGTGCCTGCCTGTGCTTTTTTTTTTTTGAAGGCAACAGACTGGTCCCCATGAGGCAGAAGGCTGGCCTCTCCTGCATCTGACTCACCTGGCACCTTGGCATCATTGCAGACTTCTGCAAAAGGTCTGAAAAAGAGAAGCAAGGCCACAGTTAGGTGGTTTCCTCTCCTCACCCGCTCCTTGGGATATGGACACTTACTCTCCATAGTTGAGAGATATAGCTGTTGAGGCTACAGCCAGGTCAGTTCACACTATAGTTTTTACACCCTAAGTGTTGCCCAATGGTCCATGTGTTAAATGTATGGTTGCCAACTTGGCACACTAGACCTTTAAAAGGCAGGTCCTACTGGGAGGGACAGGTCATTGTGGTCATGGCCTTAGTGGGGATCATCATACCATTGCTTCCTCTTCTCTTTCTCTCCCTGCTCCCTGGCTCTCATGAGGTGAGCAGCACCTTCCACCATGCATATGCTCCCATCAAAACCAGGCTCAAGTGACCAGAGCACAAAAACCCTCAAACTGTTTTCCTTTTGAGAAGAGCCTCACTATGTAGCCCAGGCTGGTCCATCCTCTTCTTTCTTCCTCTCTATTACTGGGATTATAAGAATACATTAGCACACCATGATCCCTCAAACATTTCTTCTCTTTTTGTTTAAAATTTTTTTATTACATGTATTTATTTTGTGTGTGTCTGTGCACAAGTGTGCCCAGGAGAGATCAGAGGACAAATTGTGGGAGTCAAGTCAGTTCACTCCTTTTAAGATGTGAGTCCCAGGAAACCTTACTTAGGTTGTCAGGCTTGTTGACAAGTACCTTTACTTGCTCAGTCCTCACCAGGGACCTCTGCGTGCATGTGCGTGACAGTATGCACGTGTGTGTGGGGGCACAGGTTAATGTTGGGTATCTTGCTCAGTTACCCTCCATGTTATTTTTATTCTAAAGAATTATTTACTAGTCGGGCATTGGTGGCACAGCCTTTAATCCCAGCACTTGGGAGGCAGAGGCAGGTGGATCTCTGTGAGTTCAAGGCCAGCTTGGTCTCCAGAGCGAGTGCCAGGACAGCCTCCAAAGCTACCCAGAGCCCCCCTGTCTTGAAAAAAAAAAAAAAAAAAAAAAAGAATTATTTATTTACTTATGTACATGTGTATACACAGGTGTTTGAGCCTGTGTGAACAGGAGGAGGCCGGAAGAGAGGGTACTGGTGTCTTTCTTTACCGTTCTCCACCTATTCCTTAAGGCACAGTGTCTCCTTGAAGCTGGCACTAATGCTTTCTCACGGGACTGGAGAAAGCAAACTCCAGAGATCATACTGTCCTGACCCTACTCGTGGGGCCACAGGCGCCATGCGAGTCATCTGGGCACTGGAACCCAAGCTCCAGCTCTCACGATTATGCAGCAGATATATTTACCTGTTGACCTTTAACCTCTCATATTCTGGTCTCCATGTTATACTTTTAGGCAGAAACTCTCACTGAACCAGAAGCTCACTAATTTGGCTCCCCTGAATGGCCAGTGTGCCCCAGAAATCCTCTTGCTTTTACCTCCCCAGTGGTGGGATTACAGGTGCACACTGTGGGCCCTGGGGATCTGAACTCAAGTCTTCATGCTTGTATGACAAGCATTTTGTACCAACTGTGACATCCCCCAAGCTCCTACCCCAAACTTTTTAAAAAAAGATTTAATTTTTTCAGAATTCTTTTTTTTATTATATGACTTTCTGTGTGCACATGTATGTGTGCCATGTTTGTGCACAGTGCCCAAGGAAGTCAGAGGAAGGCATCGGATCCCCTGGAATTGGAGTTACAGAAGTTGTGAGCTATTATGTGGGTGCTGAGAATCAAACCTGGGTCCTCTATGAGAGCAACAAGTGCTCTAAACTGCTAAGCCATCACTTCAGCCCTGTCCTTAAACATCTTGAGTACAGAGGATACTTGAGAAATTATGAATTGTGGGCTAGGTAGAGTGGCTCATGTCTGTAATCCCGGCACTTAAGAGGTGGAGGTAGGAATATTAGGTGTGCAAGGTCAGCTTCAGCTATATAGTGTGTTCCAGGCCTGGGCTAAATGAGCCTTTGTTTCAAAACAAACAAAAAAATTGGAGTTGGTTTTCTTTTCTGACTCAGGGTTCTCTGGCGGAGCCCGCTGATCTTGTCCTGGGCCAGGGTGGCACCTTTCCCTCTCCCGCAGCCCTTGCCCTGCTGTCTACCCTGTCGCACTCACTGGAGTTGGTTGATGATAACCATCCGTACATTCTCCCTGGCCTTCAGGATCTTCTCCAGCCGATGGATATCATAGGTGTTGGGGTTCCGGAAGGGAATGTCATCCGGGAGGCCTTTCACTTCCACAGCATCTGGGCTGTCACGGATCAGTTTGTAAGGGACCAACACAGGCCGATTCAGTCCCAGGGCCTCACCTAGAGAGTGACGGTCAGAACCAGAGAAAGATGCCCCCATGTCAGAAGGTAAAACACTGCAGGGAAGGCATCGTGATGCTGACAGCCCAACTCAGCAGCCATCCCACCCCAGGGACAGCGACACCATCCACATACATCACTGTGAAGAACATACTGGTCATCCACAGGTTCTAGAATTACCTAGAAGACATACCTCTGGGCACATCTGCACATGAGGAAGTTTCCTGATTGGGTTAACTGACGTGGGAAGACCCACCCTAAATGTGGGAGGCACCATGTCATCGGCTGGGTTCCAGAACTGACTTAAAATGGACAAAGTGAACTGGGCACCCGCATTCATCTCTCTGCTGCCGGACTGCAGATGTGATCAACTGCCTCATGCCCTTGCCCTAGGGACTAGTTTTAATCTGTGACCCAAGATAAGCCTTTCTTTAAGTTGGGTATTTTGTCACAGCAACTAGAAAAAAGTAACTAGCACATATACCATCAGTCACTGTGGGCGTGCAAGCTGCCCCGTAGACCCACCCCGGCCACCTGGAGGCACTGACCGTATTTCTCATTGAAGAGCTCCTTCACCTGCTCTCGGAGGATCACCTTCTCACCGAGCCTGTTGGCGTCATCCTCATCTGCAGGGAGACAATAGGACTACAGGGCTACTACACACTTCTCTCATGTGCTGTGGCGCTGGCCTGCTGGGCAACCTCTCTAGATACCGCCTTCTCCACTGCAGCTGCTCTGGTCTCATAAGTATTCCCACACACTCATTTCACTCAAATTCATCTATCCACCCACCCACCCCCCATCCATCCACACACCACCCACTACTCACCTCCCATCCATCCACAGACACACCACACCCACTCACCTCCTATCCATCCACACACCACCCACTACTCACCTCCCATCCATCCACAGACACACCACACCCACTCACCTCCTATCCATCCACACACCACCCACTACTCACCTCCCATCCATCCACAGACACACCCACTCATCCTCCCAATCGCCTGAATTTCCCAAGCAGCATCCTCGTACAGGATAGGCATAAAGCACACCAAGAGGAGCTAACAGTGTAGGGGATACTAGTCACAGCCCCAGAAACAGGTGTGATGGGACACTCAGAAGGTGACAAGAGGTATCACCCAGAGGACTGGAATGCTTCCCTTGTTGCTTTTTTTGACTTTTCAAAGACAGGGTCTTATACTGTTGCCTCACCCAGCCTTGAACACAACCAACCTCTCTCAGTCTTCCAAGTGTTGTGTTTAGAGGAATGTTCCCACATGACCTGCTTGGTGCTGTGGATGGAGCCAGAGTGTACAGCTTGCTGTATAAGGGTTTCTCTGTGGCTTTGGAACTTGTCCTGGAACTCACTCTGTAGACCAGGCTGGCCTCAAACTCACAGAGATCCCCCTGAAAGGTGTGTGCCACCACCACCTGGCAATATGTAGTTTTGCCAGCCTGAACTCAGAGAGTTCCCCCTGCCTCTGCTTCTCAGTCTTGCATTTAAAGATGTGTGCCACCACTCCCAATTTATTTCTTATTTTTATTAATGTGTAAGTCACATGTATGCAGTATCTGAAGAGTCCAGAAGAAGGTGACGGGGCCCCCGGAGCTGGCATTATAGGAGGCTGTGAACTGCCCAACCTGAGTGCTTAGAGCTGGACATCATTTTAATCCCAGCACTGGGAGGCAGAGGCAGGTAGATCTCTAGGCCAGCCTGGTCTACACAGTGAGATCCAGGACAGCCAGGGAGACTGTTTCAAAAAACAATCCTCCCCCCAAAAGACCTAGGGTTAAGATATCTGCTACTAACCTGATAACCCCAGTTCAAACTCCAAGACCTACGCATTACAAAGATAGAACTGACTCCCATAGTTGTCCTCTGACCTTCACATATTCAGTGTCACAAGCACCCACACCTTCTTACAGGGCTAACAACAACAAAAATGTGCTATGAGATAATCCTTCTGTACACTGTATGAATATCTGTCACCAAGATTGGTTTAATAAACAAGCTGACCCCCACCCCACCCTGACTGCCTAATGTGGCTGGTTGCCATGCCAGGCTAATGTCCTACCAATTCAATTAAAGGTGCTGGCTGCTTTTATTGCCATTGGTGGTCTTTAGAAGTTAATGTCTGTGTGTTTGCATTTGTGCCTGTACACCGGTGGAACCCTTCCTCAGGACTCTTACGTTTTGAGAGTGTCTCACATCTAGAACTGGCCAAGTTGGTTAGGCTCGCTAGCTCACAAGCACCAGGGACCTACTTATCTCTGCTCCCCAGAGCTCCAACGCCAGCCATACCTGTCCTTTTCTCTGTGGGTTTGCTGATTCGCTGAATGAGTCATCCCCTGAGCCCCTCTGCTTCATAATTTACATAAGTGTTTTTGGAATCTTATAGAAAGGTTCCAGGGCTCCCTCAACCTCCTGGATCATGAGAGCCTCTTATTTACAAACCCAAGAACACAGAAGTTCCTTCCCAACCACACATTCGGTGCAGGACTTGAGATCTTTAACCCATCCAGGGGCAGAGTGAGTCACAATGGCCCTGGCTGAGTTTCCATATACCCAGAATGGTCAGGGTCTCCCAGACACCACCCTGTGGCCCAATGGCTCCTTCTGGAATAAAGGAGGAAGCATAGGGCCAGAGAGGCCTCCCTGCCCCACCCTGGCAAAGGTCAGCGCTTACCAGGAAGACAGTAAAGCAGTCATTACTGCAGCCATATTAACAGAGAGTAGCCTAGATAATGACATGGAGGAAGCACAGCTGGCACTGGAATTGTGGCATCACTGGATACTGAGAAAGGACAGTGTTATTTAGCTCTCAAAACCAAGATAGAGCTGGGAGGGTAGAAGGGGAGGGAGGTAGGGATTAGAGGACCAGAGCCAGGAAACTATCCCTCCAGCCTTGGGGTATGGGACACAGAAGGGCAGAGGGAATTCTGAAGAAATGAAGGCCTAGAGATAGTGAGACAACCTACCTGAAATTGTAGATTGTAAGGGGCCTTATCCAAGACCACAGAGATTAAGTTAGTTAACGTATCCAACATCACAGAGAGTAAGTTAACTTATCTATGATCATATATAGTGAGCTAACTTATCCAAGATTATGGAGTAAATTAACTTATCTAGGATTATAGACCACAAGTTAACTTATCTAACGTCACAGCACAGGAATGGCAAACATAGTTCCTAAAGGGACAAAAGGGACTGTTCCCCTCCTTGCTCCCTGATTGTCAACACCAACCCCAAGACTGGTCTCCAGGCCTATGTCAGGTCCCCTTCTCCCTGATGCTCTCCTTAGTTTCAAGGTGACAGTAGACTGTACCAAGAGGGGCTTAGCAACCTGTGTGTGGCAACCCTTTTCCTCTCAGCTGGGCCTCAGACGAAGCTAGAGAAATGGCCTGTCTACTTTCCTCAGTGACATACTGATGTTATAAAAGATTTACCAATAAACTTGCTTGGAAAATATTAAGTTGGCCATGCTGGTGGTGGCACTTAGGAGGCAGAGGCAGGTGGATCTCTGAGCTCTAGGCCAGCCTATGGAAGGAGGGACCTGGGAGTGGGGTGGGCACACGACTGGAAAGCAACTTAGAGATGAAAGAGAGCCTAAAAATCCAGTGTGATAGCTTAAACCTACATAAAGCCACAAGGGATTCCTGTTCTGGGCTGGTTTCTCTTTAGGAGCAGACTATTAGTTTTAATTTTTTTCCTCCTCTTATTCTATGAATGCTTGGAATAAATTCTCATGGGGGTAGGGTGGGCTTAATTAATCTGCCCTAACAATTTCTGGAAATTGAACCTGAATTGGGAAGTCTATTGTGGGGTGTCCTAGATTAAACCGTGACTGTTGAGAATTTGGATCCAGCTCCCTAGGGAGCTCAGGTTTCTGGGCAGTGGGGACCCAGCACACAAAAGCTCATTAGGCCTAATCCAGGGTGCACACCTAAGTTCTGAGCATCTGAGATGGCCTTGGCTTTGTGCTCTAGAGTAGAGAGAAGGCAACCCTTCCTGATCTTTTGGCTTTTTGGGTTTTTTTGTTTTGTTTTGTTTTGTTTTCCCAAGACAGGGTTTCTCTGTGTAGCCCTGGCTGTCCTGGATCTGGATCTGTAGACCAGGCTGGCCTCGAAATCAGAGATCTGCCTGCCTCTCTCTGCCTCCAAAGTGCTGGGATTAAAGGCGTGTGCCACCACTACCCTGCTGATCCTTGCTGTTTTATAGATAAGGACACTGGTGCTCAAAAGAGCTGAACTGGCTTGCTGCTGTCACAAGGGAAGCTGGCAGCTCTGCTTTGCCTGTGGGGACCCCAGTGTACCCATTTTTCCTTGACAGTGGACTGACACTGGACCTGCGGTCAGAGGAAGCAATCATGATGACATACGTATTCGTATGCGTATGTGCATGTGTGTGTACCAAGTGTCTGTAGTGGCCAGAAGTGGGCACGTGGACCCTTTGGTGCTGGAGTTACAGGCAACCATGAGCCACTCGATACAGTTGTTAAGAAGAGACCTCAGGTCTTCTGGAAAAGCAGCAAATACTCTTAACCTGAGTCATATTTCAAGTCCTTATTATTCAGTTTTAAGACAAGGTCTCCTATAGCCCCGGCTAGCCTCAAACTTACGATGTAACTGAAACTGGCCTTGAACTTCTCCCAGGTACTGGGATGACAGATGTCTATCACCACAGCCTACAGAGGAAGTGACAGGCTGTCTGGAAGCTCATAACTGGCAGCAAAGGGAAGTGGGTCCTGTCAGGTACTGTGACAAGGGAACAGCTCTTGCTGTGACAGGGTTTGCAGCAAACCCTGGAGGGAATATTCTCTTTGGTAAGTGATTCACTACCCAACCTCTGCTTGAATGCCTCCAGGGACAGGGAGTTCACTACTTCCAAAGCCGCCCCCTTACCACCCCCCAGTAGATCTGAAGAATCAGGCTTTTAGACAAGCGTCACCTTCATTTTCCATCTTTTCCACCACCTTCCTCCCCAGCCACTCCATCCCCTTCTAGATCTTAATTCATCTCTCTCTGGGACCACCACCTGGGCCCAGGCCTCTGTAGTCCTCGGTTCCAGCTTTACCTTCTGCAGTGTACCTGCCCTAGGTGGAAGCTGGTCACCATGGCTACAAAAAAAAGAAAAAAAAATGCAAATCTGACATCATTTGAAAAACAAATCTCTGATGCCTGAAAATAAAACCCAAACCACACTTAGATCAGTACAGACCTGTAATCCCAGCTACTTGGAAGGAAGAAGAGGAGGATTGCAAATTCCAGGCTAGCCTGGGCTACATAACAAGACACTGTCAAAGACAGGCAGGCAGACAGCTGGCTAGGGGTATAACTCTATTGGTAGGGTGCTTGCCTAGCATGCATGAAGCCCTGGGCTGCATCTCCAGTAGTGCACAAAAAACCCAGCATGGAGTACACACCTGTAATCCTAGCACTTTGGAAGTATCTTGGAGGCTGGAGGGTCAGAGTTCAAGGTCATTCTTGCTGTCTAGCAAGTCCAAGGCTAGCTTGGGATACCTGGGACACTCTGTTTCAAACAACAACAAAACAAACCTAGAGTGGGAAGGCGGAGCTTGTCTGTTTCCTCATCCCAACCTGGAAAATGTTGCCTCCCCAGGCTGGCAGCTATACCCTAACCTCCAGATTTGAGTGGCTTGTCACTGGAGTGAAAAACTCCACCTGAAGGTGGCCATTGTGTGTATTTGTGGAAACCAATCTATAGCTATTTTTGGAGTACTTCAACTGTGCATACTATCCATACATGTGAATGCCTATACATTCACATGTATGTATAGGCCTGTCTTCCTCTTCTCCCCCCACGATGCTTATTAATTTTAGTAACACTCATTGTTCCAGTGAGTCTTCTGGGATGATACCTCCAACAGTTCTTCCCCACAGGAACCTATGCTCCCCAGCTGGGGGACCCTTCCCTATACAGAAGGGACTGCATCTGCTCCCAGCACCTTTCCTTGCTTGACAAAAGCCAAACTCAAAAGAGATAATGCTCCCATCAGATTGCCTTTAAGCAAGTCTGTAGTACATTTTCTTAATTAGTGATTGATTCGGGAGGACCCAGATCCATTGTGGGTGGGACCACCCCTGGGCATGTTGTGAGGTGCATAAGAAAACAAGGTGAGCAGGCCGTGGAGAGAAAGCCAGTGATTAGAGTTCTTCCATGGCTTCTGCACCAGTTCCTGCCTCCAGCTTCCTGCTATGACTTCCCTCATTAACACTGTGAGTTATAAGCTGAAATAAACCCTTCCTTCCCTAAGATAAACATGATGTTTATCACAGCAACAAAAACCGTCGACAAGATCGGACCAGTCTGACAGAGTGGCAAATATTTGCAATCCCAGCACTGTCATGTGAAGGCAGGAAGATCCTAGGTTTAAGATGATTCTCAGCTAAACATCAAGTTCCCGGTCAGCCTGGTCTACATGAGACACTGCCTCAGGACACAGATGGTATGGGATGGGATGGGGGTGGGGACTAGAGAGATGCCTCAGCAGTTAAGAGTGATTGCTGCTCTTGCAGAAGACCAGGGTTTGGTTCCCAGCACTCACACAGTGGTTCACAACCATCTACAACTCCAGTTCCCTGACCTGCACAGACACTAGGCATACTCCTGGTGCAGGGAAAACAAACACACATGATAAACATATATAAAAATATTAGAAAAATAACAGCAGCAGCAACAACCAACAAACAAAAAGCTAGGGCTAGGGAGATAGCTCAGTGGGTAAGTGTGTAACTTGGAAACATAAAGACCTGATTTGAGCCCCATAGCCTTCGTAAAAAGCAGGACCTGGGCCAGCCACATAACTCAGCAGATAGAACTTGCCTTTCACTTGAAGTTACCCTCAGGCATGTACACACACACACACACACACACACACACACACACACACTCACTCCTAAAACCAAACCGAAAAACAAACCCCAACAAGTAAACCAGTTTTAAACTGGAAGTTTAAAAGATTGTTGACAGGACCCATGTTATTGCACATAGTGGCCATGAGGGGGGACAAAGAGACACTCAGCAGGATCAGAGATTTAGCACAGTGGATGGGAGTAGACAGCAAATTCAACCCGGATCCTGCAAATCTCAGCCAGGCTACGGAAATGCTCAGTGACTTTGAGAAATTTTCTTAACCTCTCTGAGTCTGTTTCCTCTTGAAAGAAGTTAACCAACCCCAGAGTGGTGGCACACAGTTACAGTCTGAAGATTCTGGAGGCTGAGGCAGGAGGATCACAAGTTTGAGGACTGTCTGGGTTACATACATATCAAGACTCTGTCCCCAATGCAAGCTGGGTACGGAGGGCAGGGGGAGACCCAGGGAGCTACAGTGGGTTGGCTGACAGATACGCTAACTGGGTTTCTATGGGGTCTGGAGGTTCAACTGCACTTCCTAGACCACTTAGGGATAGGAGTAGCACCATTCACAGTGACATCAGGCAGTCACTTGTGTCAGGGCTGGCCATTGGCTAGGGTTTGAAAAGCTATCAGCCTGGAGCCAAGAGGCTTGCATTCACAAATGAACTCAGGAGCTGGGGGTAAGGGGCCGTGTGGGGTGGGAGCTTGCTATTACCAGGCAGAATGGGGCTGGACCAGGGTCAGAGGCAAGGAAGGGACTTTCTGAAACTTTCACTGGTGGGCAGGCAGTGAAACAGGCCAGTCCCCTGTGTTCACAAGTCCCCAGCTCTCTGTTCACAAGTCCCCAGTTCCCTGTGTTCACAAGTCCCTAGTTCCCTGTGTTTACAAGTCCCCAGCCCTCTGTGTCCACAAGTCCCCAGCCCCCTGTGTTCACAAGTCCTCAGCTCTCTTTCTAAGAAAGCAGTCATTTACCCCTTGGGCTGGCTGCCAGCTCTGGCTCAGCCTCTGGCCACACCCAGGGTTCTCTCCATTGTGGGCACAGAATCCTACAGTCCACCCAGTGAACTGCTGCAGAGGGTACAATAGGGTCAGAGGCTTTTTTGTTTGTTTTGTGGTGAAGTACATGTAATCTTTTTTTTTTTTTTTTGGTTTTTTGAGACAGGGTTTCTCTATGGTTTTGGAGGTTGTCCTGGAACTATCTCTTGTAGACGAGGCTGGTCTCGAACTCACAGATATCGCCTGCCTCTGCCTCCTGGATGCTGGGGTTAAAGGTTGCGCCACTATGCTCACTCTTTTTCTTTTGAGTCAGACTCTCACTGGCTTGGAGCTTGCTTAATAGACCAGGCAGACTGGTCAGTGAGCCTCAGCAATTTGCCCTTCTCCACCTCCCTGGCATGGGGATTACAAGTGTGTACTACTATATGCAGCACTCGTGGGTCCCCGGGATCAAACTCAGGCCCTCGTGTTTGCACAGCCAGTATTTTATAGACTGTGTTATCCTCCCAGCTCCCCTGCACCCTATTGACAACACTCAACACTCACTGAGTTAGCCAGGCCCATTAGAGGTCACTGGGACTCTGACACAGCTGCAACCCTGACTGGGTGAAGCCAGGGGGTTCAGTGCTATCTCTCTGCCCTAGGACCTGTAGGCTTTCTCCACTAACTTGGGGCAGATCAACAGGGAATTGTGGGAACAGCAGGTCAGTACCCTGGGTCCCATTGCTTGAGCCAGGCAGTTGTGCCTATGGTGGACTTGGCTTGGAGCTCCCAGAACTGTGCAAGAACCCCAGGTTCCCAATACCACGTGCCTCCCAAACACACAGAATACCACTTACCAGGCTTTGGGATGAGTCCTTGGAATGGCCTGGAAGGGAAACAGAAGTAGGGTTTAGGGAAAAAACATACAGGACAAGACTACCACCAGGTATACGATGATACTAGCTTGCCAAGGAATCGGTAACAAATGCCTAGGGCCCATTTCACATATTAGCATTTAATGCTTGATTCTTTCAGAGAGGATCTCTTGTAGCCCAGGCTAGCCTTGAACACCCTATGTTATAGCTAAGGATGACCTGGAACCTCTCATCTTCCTGCTGCTACCTCCTGAGTGTTGTGGTTACAGGTGTGTACCACTAAGCCTCATCTATGTGGTGCTTGGGCTTCATGCACACAGGACATGCCTGAAACCAACCAAGCCCTTGATTCCCCTGCCCCAGGATCCACGATTCAATCAGTGACCAGGTTAAGTGTGTATATTGAATTTTTGCTTTCTCAGGGGGCTGGGTATGTCTGTGAGCTGCTGAGGAGCATACAGTAAGAAGGGTGGCCAGTCACTGTGTGGAAACTTCTGAACCCTGTCTGGTCTGCAGTTCCTCTCTAACACCTTGTGGTGGCTTGAAAGAAAATGGCCCCCAAAGGGAGTGGCACTATTGGGAGGTGTGGCTTTGTTGGAGTAGGTATGGCCTGATTAGAGGAGGTGTCACTGTGGAGGCAGGCTTTGAGGTCTTTTGCTTAAACTTCACTTGGCGTTTTAATCAACTTCCTGTTGCCTGCAAGATGCAGGACTCTTAGCTACCTCTCTAGTACCTGCACGCAGCCATGACAATAATGGACCGAACCTCTGAAACTATAAGCGAGCCACCCCAGTTAAATGTTTTCTTTGTAAGAGTTGCCATGGTCATGGTGTTTCTTCACAGCAATACTGACCCTAACTAAGACACTCCCCTATTGCAGAAATTTCTGGAGCCCACTCCCAGTCCCAGCCAGTTTAGTCTCAACTCTTCCCCTTCCTCATCAAGTACCTGGTGACTGTGAACTTGATCTTGTCAGCCACAGCGAGGATCCGTTCCAGGTTCTGGGAGCCAAAGGTGCAGGGTTTGCGGAATGGGATCCCAGGAGGCAGGCCCTCGATGAGGACTGAACCTGGATTGCTTTTTCTTCGCTTGTAGGGGACCTGCACTGGGTATTTGATGCCCAAGGCTTCACCTGGATACGAGAAGGACAGTTGTGCCAGTTAAGAGGAAGCAGCAGAACAGGGCGTGCAGCATAAGTATGCCAGCGTCTCTCCCATTGGGCACAGGGCACAAGACTGTAGAGCAGCGGTCCTCAACCTTCCTAATGCTGCGACCCTTTAATACAATTCTTCTTGTTGTGGTGACCCCCAACCATAAAATCATTTTATTGCTACTTGTGGTGGATTGAAAGAAAATGGCCCCAAAGGGAGTAGCACTATTAGGAGGCGTGGCCTTGTTGGAGGAAGCGTGTCGCCATGGGCAGGCTTTGAGGTCTTTTTCTCAAGCTTCATTCAGTGTGACAGTGACTTCCTGTTGCCTCTGAGTCAAGATCTAGGACTCTCAGCTCCAGCATCACATCTGCCCACCTGTCACTATGCTCCCCTTCCTGATCATAAGGAACCAAACCTCTGAGACTGTAAGCTGCCACCTCAATTCAATGTTTCCTTTGTAAGAGCTGCCATGGCCATGGTGTCTCCTCACAGCAATAGAAACTGAAACACTGCTTCATAACTGTAATCTTGCTACTGTTAGGATTGTAATAAGAATATCTGATATGCAGGGTATCTGATGTGGGACTCCCCCAATGGGGGTGACCCACAGGTTGAGAAGCACTGCTGGAGAAGGCATAAATCCACACTGGGTGGGTCTTGAGTACAGAGAGTAAGAATGTGTGGTTCCAGGTGCTGGCCAGGGAGGTAATTAGTATTTCTCAGACTCTGGGCTGTACCGCACACCTGCCTCTAGGACGGGAACCTTCTCCCGAGACTGCGGTTCTCAGATTCACAGTCAGGACCCACACAGAATGGATGGGACGCTCCTCCTAGCAGCAAGGACATGAGGGACCACTGTCTACCTGGTCTCAGGACCCTTCCCTTCTTTCTTTCCCTCAATTTATTTCGAGACAGTCTTGGCTGGTCCGGGACTCCCTATGTAGACCAGGCTAGCCTTAAACAGAGGCCTCTGCCTCCCAAGGACTGGGATTAAAGGCCCAGTACAGAACAAGTTCCAGGATGGCGTTACACAGAGAAACTGTCTTGAAAAACCAAAACCAAAAAGAGCCATCTCTCCATACCTAACATCTCTTTTTTAAATTCTTTTGATTTTTGAGAAGGATGTCATGTAACTCAGGCTGACTTCCAACATGCTATGAGCTGAGGATAACCTCCAACTTCTGATCCTCCTGCCCCTGCCTCCTGAATGCTGGGGTGACAGGTGTGCCTACCATCACACCCAGTTCATGTGGTGCCATGGACTGAACCCAGTGCTTCACACATGCTCAGCAAGTAGTCTACCAACTGAGCCACACCTCAGTCCCTATTAAAAAAAAAAAAAAGAAGCTTTAAATTACATTTTATTTATTTAGATGTGTATATATGAGCGCATGTGTGCACATCCCATGGCGCACATGGTGGAGGGAAGAGGGCAACTTGCAGTTGTTGGTTCTCTCCTTTCCTGTATGCCAGTTCACCAGTGAGCATTCTCTCTCTCTCTGTCTGTCTCTCTCTGTCTCTCTGTCTCTGTCTCTCTGTCTCTGTCTCTCTCAATCCATATTCTGTAGTTCCTGCTGTCAGGAAACTCACAGCAGTCCTGCTGCTGCAGCTTCCCAGTGATGAGATTACAGGTGTGCACCACTAACACATCTTACACTGTGTCTGTTTTCTATTCCCCAGCACTTGGCATGTCATAGACGCTGAAGAAACACCTAAGAGCTGGTAAGACATCAGAGTGCACAGGTGGTTGCCATCAAACCTGGTACATTAAGTTTGATTCCCAGAACCCCACACGGCAGAACAACACAGCCAACTACTGCAAGTCTGATTACCATGCTTGTGCTGGGGGTATGTATACGCATCCATATACAAAGCCACACACACAGTAAATAAATAAATAAATAACCAACCAACCAAATAAATAAATAAATGAATAAATAAATAAATAAATGTGTTTTTTTGTTTTTGTTTTTTTAAAAAAGGAAGCCGGACGTTGGTGGCGCACGCCTTTAATCCCAGCACTCGGGAGGCAGAGGCAGGCGGATCTCTGTGAGTTCGAGACCTGCCTGGTCTACAGAGCGAGTGCCAGGAGAGGCTCCAAAGCAATACAGAGAAACCCTGTCTCAAAAAAAAAAAAAACAAAAAACAAAAAACAAAAAACAAAAAGGAGAGAGAGAGAGAGAGAGAGAGAGGAAATACCTATAGACCAACTTCTTTGCCAAATGTGAAGTTGGCTACATGCAGGAAGCTGCCCACCTCTCCCTCCACCTGACCCCTGCCTGTAACTCACCATATTTCTTGTTAAACAGGTCTTGGACTTGTTCCCTAAGTGTGTTGGCGATGTCAATCCTTGAGAGTCTGGTGTCATAATTTTCTGTAAAGTAAGTACAATTATGGACAGAGGCTGTTACATTAAAAGGCACTTGGTGACTTTTACAGGAAAACGATTTCCTAATTACAGCAAACTCCTTCTCTGGCAATTAGCAGATCTTTGGAGTGGGCTCCTCAGAGTCCTTCAAAACCAGTCTCCACGAGACTCAGCGTGTGAGTTTGTTTTGTTTTCTTCCTGGAAGGACTCACACTGTTTCCACAACAGCAATGAGATGAAATTAAGTTAATTGTTGACATTTGAAAACCAACAAACTAATAAATAACCCTGGAAGTGAGACACTAGGGAGAGGGGGTTTCTGTGTCCTCAGCTGGGTAGGAGTTGGAACAAGGGCTTCAAAAAGCTCAGAGGGAGGGCCGGGCGTTGGTGGCGCATTTCTTTAATCCCAGCACTCGGGAGGCAGAGGCAGGTGGATCTCTGTGAGTTCGAGACCAGCCTGGTCTCCAGAGCGAGTGCCAGGATAGGCTTCAAAGCTACACAGAGAAACCCTGCCTCGACAAAAGCAAAAAAAAAAAACAAAAAAAAACAAAAAAAAAAAAAAGCTCAGAGGGAAACAGAGGACTAGAAATTTGAGTGTCCACTCAGGGCTATTTATTACTTGGTGGTACAGGGGATGGAGCCCAGGGCATTGCAGAAGGTACAGAGATACTCTACTTCCACTACAGAGGCATGCTGTCAGCCCCTCACTGGGGCACTCTAGGTAGGTGCTCTACCGCTGAGTCACACCCCAGCCCCTCACTGGGGAATTCTAGGCAGGTGCTCTACCACTGAGTCACACCCCAGCCCCTCACAGGGGGATTCTAGGCAGGCGCTCTACCACTGAGTCACACCCCAGCCCCTCACTGGGGGATTCTAGGCAGGTGCTCTACCACTGAGTCACACCCCAGCCCCTCACTGGGGGATTCTAGGCAGGGGTTCAACCACTGAGCCACACCCCAGTGCCTCACTGGGGAATTCTAGGCAGGTGCTCTACCACTGAGTCCTGTTGCCAGCTCTTCACAGGGTGGGGAGGACACTTGGCAAGGTCTACCATCCTGAGGTAGTGTGATTAAGGACCCCCAAGTACCAGCATATCAGGACTGCACCTTTGACCTCAGGAAGGGTGCATCTTATCCTGGCCTTAGGAGAGCAAGGATATGGATGGCAGTGGAAAGAGAAAATGACCTCTGGTGTTTCAAATGCAGTCCTGGTGACATTCTCAGTCCCCTAAGGCTTGGATATAGGGATCTACACAGGGAGTGGTAAAATACACACACACTGCCCTCGCTGTTCCAGCTGCCTGGGAGGAGAGTGAGGCACTGAGGTGACCAGCAGCTGGTCCTCTGTGAGGAGACCGTCACTCTGGGACTCTCACCGGCCATGCCCATTAGTTCTCTAAGCTGTGCACACATAGGATGGGATAGATTTTCAGCTATACCCTGATGGCACGGATGTGGGATGACCTCACACCAAAAAGTACCAGGAGTCTCCCCCTTGATCCAGCTGCAAGTCCTCCTTTAACAGTTTCCTCTCCCCCACTGCCCGTCTCCCTGCCCGCTTTCCTGGTTCTTCACAGCCACCATCCACTCCTTCAATTTCAAAGTAGTAAGAGCTGGGTTGATGAATGACTACAGAAAGGTAGATGGCTATTGCCTAGATAGGGAAGCTAGCCCTGGAGTCCTGTGC